AAAAATTTACTAATAAAATATAATAATATAAATTTAACTAATAAAATATCTACTAATAAAATTGATTATATTACAATGGAAAGTTACTTGTATTGCATCTGATTTTAAAAATACTCCTAGCTTTCATTATGTTGTTATACTTCATAATCATACTATTCTTTGCACTTGTATATATCTACTTAATCAAGGAATGATTTGCTGCCATCAATATCAAGTTTTAATTCACTCAAGTAACGCTGTTTTTCATACATCCATGATACATCTATGATGGTATAATGATAATGCTCAAATCAAATCAACTGATTATGTTACAATTTGCAATGGTGTTATTAATTCAACCAAAGAAACATTACTTTACTTTGATCGTATTCGAGCAAAATCTGTATATACACCTGCGATTCAAGACTATATTTCTAAAAAAATGCAATTTGAAAATGCTATGTCAATTGCAAAAACTTGTGTTTAAACTGCAATTAATGAAGAAGCTGTTTCAGATTTGATTAGTGTAATAGTATAATAGTTAATGAAATATCAAAATGGCACAGAGCTTGGACTATCATTATTATTCTCAATCAACTACAATGAACACAACTATAAATCTTACAATTATGAACAATGGCAAGATCATGACAATCAAAATTGTGAACAACATCATGATTATAAGCAAAAGCATGATAATGAACAATATTATGATCAAAAACAATCATATAACTATGGAAATTGCAATAATGAGTTGTATAGATATAAAAATTATAATTGTGAACTTCCTTTAAGTGAAGTTGAAATTAATTCTTATTTGCCTGAGGTCTCAAATCTGGAACATTATAGGCCAAAATAGCGTCCACCCAAATGACTAAAATCTTCAATTAAATCTAGTATTAATAAATATACTAAATCATTAGTAGATTCTCAAGATACTGTGACTCTTAAAACCTGTAGTCATTACAAGAAACAAGGTCACAATGTTAGAAGTTGCAAACAATACAAAGTAGTTTGTGAATCAAATAAGGAGAATTAAGTTATGATTAAAATAGGCTATATATTAGATTAAGCAATTAGTATCAGAATTGTCTATTGTTATAAGATTACGTGAGTATTTATTTTGCAATAATATGCATATTTAGTAGTTATTTACTATATTTTACACTAACAATAACAATATCAATATAGTCACTATTAAGCTAGTATTATTAAATTATAGCCAATCTTTCATAATTACATCCCTTATAAGTATATTTCACATATATTTTATCTTTATAAGAACATTAGCCCAATGTATAGTCTGATTTTTCTAAATACAACCCTGAAATGCTAAATGTTAGTTTTAACTCTAACCCAAGTATATATTATACTACTATAAATATAATTTTCTTATAGTTACTTAAATGCAGAATATTGAATATCTAGTTCTTACGAAATATATTTAAAAACGTTTGTTTGTAATTTATACAATACTATATATCAACTGCTCTCCATAAGTATACTTTTATAAGTGCTTTTTTTTTAATAACATGCACTTATAGCAGATTGACAATAGATTGTTTATGAATTGTAAATAAGGTTGTGAATTATAGCATTCTTATATATATTGAATGTCAAATTAAAATATTTGTTAGATTAAAATTACAATATCGAGTTATATAGTAAAGGTCTTATAGATTAGGGTAAGGATTTGAAGGTTAATAATATTATAATTATTTTAATCAATACTTTAATTTGATATAGAGCTACTTTTATATAGCAATATTATAATAATTATATAGTATATATTGATGTGTAGTTTACAATTATAAAATTGTTATTATGTAATACAGGTCATGTGATACTGGTAGTGACTACCACTGGTACTAAATAGTAATTTCCTATTATATAATATAATTGGAAGATAATAAATATTTTTATTTTAAATACTTTGTTTTTTCTAAAAAAAAATATTTATCCTATTTTTTTTAAAGAAAAAATAATTACTGTAAGTGATAGAATAGAAGGACCACATTCTATGCCTAAATATTAATAAGAATTTTATGTTAATAGAACTTTATTAATTTGCCATGCATGTTGTATAGTTTTAAATTACAAAAAAAAGTCAGTGCTTAATAATCATCTTGTTTCATCAAAATATATAATTGCAAAAGATCATAATAGTACTACTACAACAAGTAATTCTACATCAAATAATACTACTGTACAAATATTGAAAAAAAGCAAATAAATCTAGATCTTGTTAAAGTTCTAATAGCCACTGATATACCTCTTGAGAAAGTAGATAAATTAAAAAAGTTTTTAGCAAATATTGTAAATTTGGTAAATATATAATATATATTATATATATATTATATAATACAGTCAAACCTCTCTATAATCACACCCTTGGTTTTAAGAATTTGGTGCTTATAGAGAGTTTGTGCTTATATAGAG